CTGCGAGCTCCTCCCCGCCCGCGCCGCGCGCACCCGCCGGACTGAATCTGACCCTACGCCGCCTTCACCTCTCGGCTGAGCCTGGCTCTGCACCCCATCACCTGCAGCCGAGCCTGACTCTGCACCCCATCACCTACAGCCCCGCCTGGCTCTGCACCCCATCACCTGCAGCCGAGCCTGACACTGCGTCCCCATCACCCCATGGCTGAGCTGGACACAGCACCTTCACCGCTCCCGGCTGAACCGAACTCTGCGTCCCATCATCCCCAAAGGGACTCCCACAATCCCCGCAAATGTTCTGTTCGTCCTGCCACCGCACCACTGCCGCCCCCACCTGGCCAATGACCGACGCTGGGTTCTTAGTCCTTTCCCGAAGACCCAGCCAGCTCTCGGGTCAGGACAGCCTTCTGGCAGCTCTGAATGGCCCCAGCTCCCCGTCCTAAAGGCAGAATAAATACACCTCCGGCTCCCCACGCCCCCTGCCCGCGCCTCTCTGGAATGGCTGCCGCTTGCAGGGGTGGTGCTGAAAGCCACTCCCCGGCCCACCCCAGTGTCTGAGTGCCCCTGTATGGCCGCCCCCACCGGGAATGGGGTAGCCCAGCCGCCACCACCACGCCCCTCGCTGGAGCTGCTGTCACGGAGGAAAAGCCTTGGGCGCGGCCCGGGCTGTCAGACCCACGAGGTTCCGAGCAAGTGACAGCAGCAGAATTGCCAAATCCGGACCATCGTCATTCCCTGTTTAATTCGGAATTGGAAGCTTTCCCGTTAGGGAACTCTTTCAGTCAATATAGTCCAAATAGGATTGTTCAGTTTTCTGCTCTGTGTTGTTGGTTTTTCTTTCTTTCTTTTACTAAAAACTCAGTCATGTAACCATGACACACCCAGCAGGCGGGAAGGAGAATTTCCTATTTCAAACATTTTGGTTCAGGACTTTGTAGGACTGAATGTTTCTAAATCTTAGCTGATGATAAGATTTCCCTGGGGCATTGGCAAATTTTGGATTCCCAGACCTCACACCTACTGAATCAGAGGGGCCTGGAATATGTAAGTTTGAGAAACAGAGCTAGAGAGCATTCTTGAATTAATTAAAGCCTTGCAAAATGGCAGTGCGGTTCAGTGCTGAGACCTTTCAGTGTTTCTCAACCTTCCTAATGCCGCGACTCTTTAATACAGTTCCTCATGTTGTGGTGACCCCCACATAAAATTATTTTCGTTGCTACTTCATAACTGTAATTTTGCTACTGTTATGAGTCATAATGTAAATGTCTGATATGCAGGATGTATTTTCATTGTGCGCGACCCACGGGTTGAGAACCGCTTTAAGTTAAAGGCTTAAAGAGACACCCAACTTTGGGGGCCACTGCCCCTTCTGGAAGAGGGAGGAAAGTTCTCAGGAAGCAATACAGATGGGCCCTGTCGGTGTGGCTCAGTTGGTTGGAAAGTCTTGAACATCAAAAGGTGGTGGGTTCCCCCGCTAACTGGTTTGGCTCAGTGGACAGAGTGCTGGCCTGTGGACTGCAGAGTCCCAGGTTTGATTCCGGCCAAGGGCACATGCCTGGGTTGCGGGTTCAATCCCCCATTGGGGACCTGCTGGAGGCAGCCAATCAATGATTCTCATAATTGATGTTTCTTTCTCTCTCCCCTTCTCCCCTTCTCTCTGAAATCAATAAAGAAATATATTAAAAAAAAAAAAAAAAAAAAGGTGGCGGGTTCCCAATCAAGGCACATACCTAGGTTGTGGACCTAGGATTAGATCCTGAGCAGAGGCAGCCAATCCATGTTTCTCTCTCAAACTGATGTTTTTTCCCTCACTGTAGTCGGCTTCCTGTGCTGCACTCTCGGGTCAGTCTGGGCGTCCCCTCAGCTCCGATGGCCCTGTCCTGTATACACATCTGCTACAACTGTTCCACAACTGTAAATAACTCTCACCCATTCCCTCTTCCTAAAATCAATAAACATATCCTATGGTGGAGATTAAAAATAGTAATAATTTACTTTAAAAATAAGGCAGATGGTTTTGAATGACAAACTGGAAGGATTCTAGTGGTTCAAAGATGAAATGTTTCGGACCAGGCCTTATAAAGACAGGCCGGGAATGGTGTCACCGTGTATGGCAGGCTGAAAGGTAGCCCCCCACAGATACCAGATCCTAATCCTAGAACCTGGCAATATTCCCTGGTATGGAAACAGAGTCTGCAGATGGGGTTTAATTACGAATCTTCCTTTGGGGAGATTACCCTGGTTTATCAAAGTGGGCCCTAGCTGCAATCACAGGTCTCCTTATGAAAGGAAGGCAGAGAGGAGATTTGACACACACAGGTGAGAAGATAACATGACCATGGAGGCAGAGATTGGGTGATACCGCCCCAAGTCAAGGAATGCCAGCAGCCACCAGAAGCTGGAAGAGAGGCAAGGCAGGGTTCTCCCCTAGAGCCTCCAGAGGGGAAAAGGCCTGGTGACACCCTGATTTCAGCCTAGTGAAATGGAACCCGGACTTCTGGCGTGAGAGAACGAATGCCTACTGTTTTAAGCCACCAAGTCTGTGGTAACGTGTTAGAGCAGCCACCGGAAACAAATACACCCTGTGGCCTGTGCAGTGCCAAATTTACAGAAAAAAAATGCCCATTTTATGAATCTTTATTAAGTGCCAGCCACTTTACTTGGCTATGTTATTTAATCCTCCCAATAATTATTATTCCAGTTTTAGAGATGAGGACACCAGGACTGAAAAAGTTTAAGGAGCTGGCCTAAGGTCACACACAGCAAGAGCCTATTGGAATCAAGCCTGTCAATGCCTCAAACATTGAAAATAACAATTAAGCTCACATACATTATTTTAGTGAAAGTTTTTGGTTTTAAAGAGTTCTTACTTCCTTATTCTACGTCTATTGCCAAAAACAAGGGAAATGGATGCATTGATGGGGAAGGGTGGCAAGGGGTAGAGGGAAATCTCTGTACCTTCTGCTCAGTTTTGTTGTGAACCTAAAACTGCTCTAAATAAAGTATATTAAACCACAAAAAGCGGGTTAATCTCTTGTAGCCTACCTTTGATAATTTTTAAACTCTTGTTCTTATATATTTATCAGGAACATGAAAAAAAAATCAAAGGAAATTAATGTGAAAGGAAGTTGCAGAGGAGGCAGAACAAAGTGAGTGGCCAGCGATCTCCCTAGTCAATGGCATTAATGTCGTCACCAGTTGGGTTCCCAGGGAAGCAGGCCGTGAGATCCAGGGGCAGTGTGTTCATGAAGGAATAGTCAAGGGGTAGCCACCTGTGGAAGCAGGATGGGACAAAGGGAGAAGTTGAGCTGCAGGGTGGGCCCTACAACAGGCTCACCCGACCCCCTGAAGACCCTGAAGCTAGCATGGCCCTTCTGAAGTATTGGGCCCACATGGCTGAACATTCCTATACCCTCCTGCATCAGTCACTGAGGAGTGGCATGACCTTGGGCAAGGGGACTCAGCTGCTGAAGTAGTCCCTCAGAGGGCCAGCTGCCAGCAGCACTCAGAGCTGGGCCGCATGCCCTCCTTGAAGACAGATCTGGTCAACATGTCATCCATTTACACATATGTGATACCCTCACTGTTGTGCTGTCCTCTCCATTGGAGGGGAGCAGCCCCAGGATGAGTGGGATGCTCATACTTTGGTTTTTTTTGCTTTGTTTTCTAGTGGTGGCGGTACTCATTCTTGAAGCAGAACACGCTCGCACAGAGTTGACACCCTTCGGTCGGATTGCTTAGGTTAGAAGTAGGATCCACACCTCACTAGCTAGAGGACCTCAGACAAGATGCCTAGCCTCTCTCTGCTTCAGTTCCGTCATTTTAATATGGGAACAATGATAGTAGTTAGCACATAGAGTCATTGTGAGAATTAAATCTCGTAATTGTGTAAGGGGCTTAGCTACACAGCCCACAAGTGCTCAGCAACTTGTGTTATGGGCACCTCTGGTCACCTCCATGATTGGCTAACTTGGAATCTTACTCTCACAATCACTTTTTTTTTCCTTTTCTTTTTTTTTTTTTTTTTTTTTTTTTTTTTTGTGGTGATAGGGAACCAAGGGCTCCAGGGATCCAGTTGGAGGGAAAGGCCATGAAAAACATGTAGTGAGCATCACCGCAAAGACTGAAACTTTTTCACGGTGGGAAACGGCAGCCTCGCTCCAAACATGTCTTATTCTTTCAAACCTCCCTGGCTCTATAGGTGCCTCCCTTTCCTCATCTCTCTAAAATGCAGTTCTCCCATCCTTTACCCTGGCTGGCCCCACCCTGTACCATACTTGCCACTGTCCTCTTCATCTCCTGAGAACTATATTAAATGTCACCCCCTCCATAAACACTCTATGGTCAGTCTGGGCCTCCCCTCAGCTCCAATGCTCCTGTATACACATCTGCCACAACTGTTCCACACTGTGCTATGATTATTAAGCAGATCTCCCCGGGCAT